TTCTGTTTAGATTCTATAATTTTATGAAATTTCAAAAAATGAAGTATCTGTAATATCACGATAAATTATTACTTGGTCCTTAATAGACTAAATTACAAGAACACCAAGTGCATATTACTTTTAATCTTTGACAACAAAAAAGAAATATTTCTAAAAAGTTGCGATAGCGATTATGTCTTGCTAAATAATTTGTAACATTTAGATTCGATAGCTAATACAAAATAGATTATGCTATTAGCAGCCAACACTTTCTTTTAAATAGTAGATTTGTGAGAAAAATAGAAAAAGACTGCGTTTCGCTGCTTTTTTTTTTTTTAACAATAATCTAAATACTTTTGAAAATTTATCATCATTTTCGCCTAGGGACAATACCAAATATTCTTAAATTGATAGTTACATAATTTTTTAAACGTTATATGAAAGTAATTGAAATAAATTCTATAACTAGCCTTATAGTTGACTATTTGGATTCCTTAGTAAAATTGCACTTGATATGCAGATAATGGAAATTCTTTAAACCACCATATAAAATATAAAAATATTTTTTTCTAAAGTAGTAGATACAAAATAATGTAGTGTTCGTTACTCTCTCGACGACCACTTTATTCTACATTATTCTTATATGGATTCCATACGTTCTTCATATGTCATTTGAGTTAGTACTAGACCTTTACTTACTGTGCTTTTGAGGGAATCTATCACACAATATTTTATTTAAAGAGTAAGGGGCAAATATTCAAAAAAAATGGAACATTTCTTTATATAAATATAATATATAAATATAGTTCATGTGATGCTAATAACAAAATAATTTTATTTTTTTGTCCTATTTAGAAAACGATTTAAAGAAAGAAAAGAAAGAAACCGCCTCCCTCCCCTTCAAATCTTTTTTAAAAATTTTGCTTTCAGTGTAAAATAACTGCATAGTTTCTTTTCGTAATATAGGTTATCAAGAGATCAAGATGTTATTTGAAGAGAGAAATTGTGTATTTAGCAGTACTCTTGTTCTTGTAATAAATATTAAATATGAATGTTAAATAATAATACATTCTTATAATAAATATTAAATAATAAATAAGACATTCTTATATAATAAATATTAAATATGAATGTTAATCTAATTTGCATTGTTCGTTTAATCTAGGACCATATTACTTATTCACCAACAAAGTTGTTCTGAAAATTAATAAAATGGGGCTGTGGATTAGACCTAACGAGAAATTCTGGATTCAATAATTGTATCTGTATATATAATGAGTTTTTATAACATTATTTATGAATTTATTACATGTCGTTAATATTAAACATTTAAAAGCGGCAATCTAGCAATAATTCATTTGACACCTAGATGTGGAATTCAATAGCTATAAAATAATTTCCAGCCTTCGAGTTCTACCTTTGACAAATATTGCGTAATAAAGTAGTTAAAAATTTTCAAAAATATTAATACTATGTAAATATGATATAAATATAATAATAAATGTTTCGTAACAATTGTAAATCTCAGCAACTTAATGTAACAAATGCAATAAAATCTATGTCATTAAAATATAAAAATTAAAAAATTTTATGTAGTATTGGTATTTTAT